CCCTGAGTTTTACAATTCGGACGCTGGGAGTTTGGTTGACACACGATCAGCATCTCTAGGAGTCTTGATTTGTATTGCCCTTCTCTCTCTGCTGCTGCTGCTGTGAAGGAGGAATTTGTTTGAGATGTAAGCTTGTTACTGTGCTGGCATTGTTAATTTAAAGGAAATAATTTAAAGTGTATTTTAAATCCACTGCTTGATATGTGTGTGTATGTTGAACTTCTGTCGTGCCGTACAGAGCCAACCGTGCTAATCGGAGGTGCGGGGGAAGGACAACAAACTAAGCGCAACAAAAAGCAGTCCTAAAGAAATTAGTTTTTAATCTAGGATGAAGGCCTCCCCCGTGCCATGGTGACCACCGCGGTTGTTTAATGGGGGGGATGGGGCAACCCGAGCTTTTGGTCTCATGGAGAGCGTTGGTGGGGTCGAGCTGAGGGCTGGGGAAGATCCCAAACTCGGCCGGCTTGCCGGTGACCGGAGATGCCGAGACAGCAAAAGTGGGCTCTTGAAATCCATTGGTGTGGAGTTCGTGCAGTGCTATCGTACGCGTGGGTCCACGGTATGCGTGGGTCCATGGTACGTGTGGGTCTACGGTTTCTTCTTACCTGAAAGAAATTTGCCAGACATCCCGATGTAGGGCCCTCCTGATAAAAAATAAATAAAACCTCATCAAGACTCAATAAATTAGGTTGTTCCCTGGCTTTCCCCACGTGTACGCTACAATGCAAAGCGTGGAACGTCCATCCACTGCCTTAATGGGGGGCCTACACAAGCGATGCGGGTTCTCGGGGTCTTTTCGACCATACTTCACCCCTCTGGTCGATGTGGGTTGGTGATGGCGGGGAGCGTACATGATGGGATGAACGGAGTGTCTTGTTGCAACGGTCGTCTGTGCTGAGACCCGTCCGGCGAGGTGATGGCCCAAACTTCGTAGCGCATGAGTGCCACTGGCCGAAACGTCGCCTATTCTACACACGTATTGTTTTTCCTTTTACGGCCGCGGTGTAATCGACAAACGTGACGGATCTTGGTTTTTTCCATGCTGTGAAAGACGCTACGCGCATCTCCTGATGTCCCCCTCCACTTTAGGAGCCCGTCTCTGCTTGAATCGATGCTCGTGAACTTCCAGACGTTAGAGGCAAAGGGAGACGCTCTCTGTTCTATAGGTGTCCCGGCCGGAGCTCGGCGCTACATTATAAAATGCACGACGCAGAATAATCGACGGCATCGGGTGCGTTCGAGAATTCGATGCGACTGGGACTGGCCGGGGTCTGGAATCCATTTGTGCTGCCGCCGTTTGAGCCTCGATACGCACCGTGATCACTCGCACCCTCTCGCGATTCAAATGACTGACGTCTCGTTAATGTCGCATGTCGCGTCGTTTTTGTTTCTCTTAAGGCCACAGCGTTATTGACGAAGGCGTCGATGTTTTGCCGTCGTTGTTAATTGTACACCACTGCCAGCGAAGCATCGGCACTTTGTTTAACTTTGTTGGGTTCGGACGTCTCGGCATGGCTCGTTTGATCCGTGGCTATTTCCGCCGAACGACTCGGAATCCCAGGAATCCTGCCTCGCATGCCAGGCCCTGATCCGGCTTCCTGCGGCGCGGAGACCTCACGGCTTCCCCCATTTGGCCTTGGCAGCGATGTGGGACTCGCTGCGGAAGCTGGGGGCGCGCGACAGGCGAATGGCTTGTCCCCTCCCCCCCGTGGTGCTTCTTCGTTCGTATGCAGGAATAACAACGGCAGATTAAAGATGTCATTTTTAGATCTGTAATTAGCTCAATTGTCTGTTCATAAGCAGAGTGGATCTCGTCCATTCCTTACTCTTTGGTTCATTCGGTAAAGTCACAGAGGTATAAAATAAAATAAATCAGTGGAACTGCTGGATTATATTTTTTTCTGCCTGAGGACAACCGCTTGTGTTGCGCCCGAAACGTCATGATTTATTTTATTTTCTACCCACGTGACTGTACCGAAAGAACCAAAGAGTTTGGATTCCTGCAGTCACGAAAGCTTCAAATCAAGATCGTCCATTCCTCCTTTAAAGGAGTGAAGGCAGCAGCAGCAGCGGCGGCGGAGTGTTTGGGTCGATGTTTTGGGATTCGTGGCCGCACCACTCGCAGGCCGCCGAATCTCCGATGGTGCCATTTGTGCATCGCGTGGCCACGCCGGCCACGTGGCCCGGTCCCCATCTGGCCGATGGTCGACCATCGGCGGCGGTCGGGTCGCTGTACGAGACGTTTAAATTGTGACGTCGGCCGCAGTCCAGACTCCCGCTTCTGTCTCCCGCTTGCATTCCCCCGTGGCTATTGGTTAGATTATATTGATGCACAACAATCCGCTACGGTGTCCGAATGCTCATGGAGATCTGTGAGAGTGGATTAGCTCACGTTCGCCAACAGGTCTCTATGCGGGGGTGGAGCCCCAATGCAGAGGTTGTGGGTGTGTCCTGCTGGGAGTGGTTCCCCCGTGGTGACGTGACGTATGTGTATGTGTTGAACTTCTTTCGCACCTTATATGGTCCACCATGCTAATCGGAGGTGTATAGAGTGTTATCCCATTGGCACCAGCGGGCTATCGCCTGGAACTAAGGTTTCCTCCCATGTGTATGAACACTCATTAATTGGTCGATAACACCTTAATATACAGAGGGGACCGCAGAGCTTGGCCGATTGTTGGCCGTGCCAGGTCACCCCCGCGGCTGCTGCTGCCCTCCCCGCTCGCCTGTGGCTCCTCCTCCAGGCCGCGTCCGAGTCGTCCTCTCTCGACGAGAGCGATGTGTGTACGTACGTAGAACTTCTTCCGTACCGTACGTAGCCAACCGTGCTCATCGGAGGTGGGCTACAGAGGCGCAGTGATCCGCTGGTTGTGCCTCAAGCTCTCACCGATGATGACCGTCGTGGCCACGCTACGTGCGGTCATCTCTCCGTTGCGACGGGATTTCCCGTCATTCACGTGCTGCCCCCACCCGCCGATGTGACTTCCGTTTTAACTCAACTTGATGGGCGGACTGCGATTGCCATCCTAAATCCACGCCGCCAGCGGCTCGCGACTGGGTTACCGAGCGGACCGCGTGTGCCTCCCCACAATCCCCACGCCGTGTCCATGAAGATGACTCCACCGGCGGCACAAAACAAACAATGCGTCGACTCAGAAACACCGGTAGCGTTAAAAATGAATACTTTAATTTTATATTGCATCATCCACGCTAATGGCATCCCACAACGCTGTATATTAATTCTATGAACCTTATGGCGGTACCCCGGCTCTCACACAATGTCCACGATGCAGTAATTTTGAGTCTGTTGATGGTCGGCGATGCGGCAATCGACTCATCGCGACGAGCTGTACACGATGCACCACTATGGTGCGTTCAGGGTTTCGGCGCAATCGCCCTCGCTGCGTTTCGACAACGCGGAGTGGCACTGATTTCGGATTGATTTGTACCCCAGTCGCGGAGTTAAGAACACCCCTGGGAAAAAATAGTGTCCCAGAAATAAAGTATTTAATTGCCTCGGCCAGTTTGTATTATTTGGTACCCCGGGGTACCGCCATAAGGATCATATATATATATATATATGAGCAAATCCTGTATATGGCCACTAACCAAGCAAATTGAAACCCCTACTCCCAGCAAGCAAAAACAAATATGAATACACAAATTAAGAAATGACACCCAAAACAAAAAGCACAAACGTTCAAAAGAGTGATCACCACAACAGAGCAACGAGTCCGTGAGGTGTAACTCCGCGACACATCCCAGAGCACAGTCACCAACTTCCAAAACGAGGCAGGGAAACTTCGCAGGAGGAGGGGCGTTGTCCACAACATCGTTGTGGGATTCCCTCGGCCATTGCAAGCAAGTTAGAAACAACCCCACCACCACAGTGGCCCTCGTCAACAAGCTCCTCCTGGTCCTAGCCACCGCATCTCTAGCTCGCTCGCTCGCTGTGTCCATCGCTGTTCCTCATCACCCACCTCCCAGTGGTCCTAGCCTCTGCATCGCTCGCTCGCTCGCTGTGTCTATGGCGATCTGAGCAATGGGAGAGTCTTTGGCGGCCGTTCCTCCCTTGGAAACGTCTCGTCCCCCTGGCTCCTCCGTCACTGCAGGAGTGTATTACGAGTGGTGCACTGTTTGTTGTTGTTATTGTCGTTGCGAGGGGGAGCTTGTGTTTCCCGGGCAATTTCCTCTGCCAATTTGGCTGATTTACTGGTGTTCTCCCCTCCCCCTCCAAACAGTTCCTGAGCTACCGGTCGATCTATGTATGTGCACATCTGTCTGTCGGCCTGCCCGTTGTGTCCTATCCTCCGCCTGTCTCTCTGCCTGCCTTGTCCGCTTGTGAATCCACACCTTGTCGGGACACGGGGTTCGTTGTTTGTCGGGCGGAGGTTGATCGCAACGAGGCTGTGAATGTCCCTGCGATTTGCCGCGGCTCTCACTCGAGTCGAACGACGGCACGGGCACTCGGCTCCACTGGCGGGTCTCCAAGATGTTGGCGGAAATTCCATACTCCCATGGCAGGGGCTAACCCACGTCTAATTCACTCCCCTATCATTCCTATTTTCTATCTCTCTCGTGTCATCCCTCTCCTCTGTGGTCTTGTTATTAAATGTTGTACAGTGATGAATCACCCAACCCCAACTTGGCTTAGGACTCTCCCCTGGTCTCGCATAACATCAACGAGCCAAATGCTGACGACGACGACAACGCCGGATGGATTGTTGCGTCGCAAGAGTCACGAGAGGTGGCCGTGGTTTTTGGGGAGTTCTTCGTCCGGCAGTGCACTGACCATGTCCGTTTCGTAAATGATGGTCTCAGTGGAGGTTGTCGAACTGGCGGGGGACAGCCATGGACGGGGATTGAACTCCAGTCGCCGGGTTCGGAGTGCAGTGCGCTAACCACCGTTTTCTCATTTCCTCTCTCCCCTGCTACCTTTACACTTCCTGTCCACCCCCATCCCCTCCCCCACCATCCCCCGACCATACTTCACCCTCCAGGGCTCAGCGGAGTCGTACAACAGCCGGCCCACGGACTCGGACGTGTCCCTGGAGGAGGACCGGGAGGCCCTCAAACATGAGGCCGAGAAGCAGGCCTTGGCCCAGCTCGAGAAGGCCAAGGTAGGCCCTGGATGCAGGCCGGTGTCGCCCTTTCTTTGAGTCACAAACGCATCGCTGTCAACCCCTTATCAGTGCCCTACCTTATTACAGACCAATTAGGACCTTATTGGTCACCCCGTGCCCTTATACATCTCAACGTTCGTCCTACAAAGTCACATCACAAGGGACAAACACAAACAAATAGACAAAAAACTAAATTTTGCCGGTATTGAAACGGCTGTACGCCGTATGGACCTGAGAACTAAATTCTCCTGTACAAGAATACGGGGTAAACCGTATGGTTTGGCAGGTACGCAAATGTCTGGATTCGTCGCAATGTTCATTTTGCTACCGAGTGGAGCCACGCGGATTTCGGACGCTAAGCAGCGTTGAACCCGGATGTGGCCTGGATGGGCGACCAACAGGGCTACGTCACAGTACAGTGCAGCTCCACCGTTGTACTGTACTTCTACACTCCCGCGCCTATGCTCCCCACCTTCGAGCGTGGTCTTACTACGCTCATCCAGTAGTGGATCGATAAAGTCCGTTGCGCGTTGACCCCATGGGTGTTTGGTCACGAGTTGCCACCAGCTGGCAAGAGAGCCATTACAGTCGTCGTTGTTACAATATGCAAATGATAATTATTAATCATTCATTAATTTTAAAAAATACATGCGTAATTTGGACAGAAGGACATTCGGAGGAACGTAAATACTTGTTATGTATGTTACACTTCTTTTGCACCGTACGTAGCCAACCGTGCTAATCGGAGGGAAGCACAACATGCTAAACACAAAACGCAGTTATAAAGAAATTCGTTTTCAATCTGGATGATTTAAAATTGCATAGTGCATCTGAAACCGTGCGATGCAGTGACCATCATCAGTAGTGACGATTGTGGTGATGATGGCAATTACTATAATGGTAGTGATCGTGGTTGTGATGGTGATGGTCATGTTGGTGCAAGTGGAGGAGGCTCGTGAAGGATGCTACTGGTCAGTTGGAGGCAGTCCCCTTCCAGCAACATCGTAGGGCAGAGGAACGACGCTCACAACAACGATCGGAGCGCCGGGTGGCTAAAACGCAGTAAAAGTTTGCACAGTAGGGGGGCACAGCTGGTGCATCTGCCGGTCATCGCAGTCGGTCAACCCACGGCACCTGGGTCTGTCCCGTGACCTCCTCCTGTCAGCAGCGAGCCTTCAACACTTCACGTGGCACTCAAAGTGTCACCTGGCCTGACACAGGTGTCGTGGTGACGTCACCGCCACTTAGTGGCGAATGGCGGCCGTTGTTGTTGGTATAAGTGATGGTGGTAGTGGTGATGGGCGACTCTCGCTGTAGGCGCCGGGTCGCCGTGCCTCCGTGGCCTGCCGAGTTCGTTAATTATTGAGAGCGCCGCCCACGAGGTGTTCACGTTAACGTTGCCCGGGGGGGGGGGGCGGTGAGGGGGGGGCTGGCGGGGCAGGAAGTGCGCCCCCCAAGGCAGAAGAGCAACGCTCAGGGCAAGGGAGAGGGGGGGGAAGTTGGGATATGAGAGAGGAGACACGTGAGAGAGATGAGAGAGTTAAAGATGAGAGAAATGGAAGTGATGGGGGAGCGAAATAAGAGCACAGAATGGGGACGTGCCGGGGGAGGAGGAGAGGGGGGGGTAGAAGAGGAGGGAGATATAAGAGAGGGTGGAGAGATGGAAGGGAAGAGGAGCAATTGAGGAGAGGAAAGTAGATGTGGGAGAGAGCAGGCAGAGGTGAGACAGGAGAGGAAGTGAGAGAGATCAACTAGATAGACGGAGGAGAGGGTTGGTTGAATGAGAGAAAGCAGCAAGTGGGAAGATACGTAGGACAAAGGGGACAGAGAGAGAGGAGAGAGGAGAGATGGGAAAGAGAGCATATGGAAGAGAGGATAAAGACACGAGAGGGAAGACAGAGGGAAGGTGGAGCGGCAACGCCACTGTCCGTGTAAGCGTGCCCGATGGAGGCCGTGCGTGCATCCGTGAGAGTGCGTGAGAGCGAGCGTGATAGCATGTGTGCGTGAGAGCGAGTGTACATATGTGAGAGTGAGCGTGCGTGAGAGCGAGCGTGCGTGAGAGCGAGTGAGCAAGCGAGCGAGCGTGAAAGAATGCGTGAGAACGAGCGAGCGTGCGTGAGAGCGAGCGTGCGTGAGAGCGTGCGTGCGTGCGAGCTAGCGAGCGTGAAAAAATGCGTGAGAACGAGCGAGCGTGCGTGAGAGCGAGCGTGCGTGAGAGCGTGCGTGAGAGCGAGCGTGCGTGAGAGCGAGTGAGCAAGCGAGCGAGCGTGAAAGAATGCGTGAGAACGAGCGAGCGTGCGTGAGAGCGAGCGTGCGTGCGTGCGTGCGAGCTAGCGAGCGTGCGCGGGACCATGGAAGTGCACACGCAGCAGCAGCCTGCAGCAGCCCGTCTAATGCACCGCCGTCTTATTCAGCAGCCTCCGCCCGTACCGCGGAAACGTTGCATTATTAATCACGGGCGAATGAACCGCTTCGCTGACAAACGCGCCTCTTCTGACGAGACACGCGCACGGGGAAACACGAAGAGACCTGCTCCACCGCTCCGTGTCGCCTCCGCCGGATCTCGGGGGCAAGTATTGTTAGCGAGCGCCAAGCGAGGGCCGGCACGGCACACGGGTGGATGCGGTGTGCTCGCAAACTACGCCGGGCCGCCCTTTGTCTCCCCCTTGGCTCCTGTTTGTACACCGCACGCGGCGGCGCCAGCGACTCACTCGAGGTGGAGTTCACATCGGGGAGACGAGGGATGAGTGCGGGTCTCTCTCTATCGCCGCTCATCGCGGCTGCGGCCGGGAATTCAAATCGAGTCGCTCGGTGTGTCGCGCAGTGCAGGAGCCACTGCGCCACCGGCGCTTGTAGCGGACACGCTGACAGAGGTCCCCCGCGTACCCTTAACAGACCATTGGTGTCAGCGCCGTTAGCGAGCAGCGCCTATGAAGGCCGGCACGGCACACGAGGGGGTGGGTGGCCAGCACCACGCCCGACTGCCTTTGTCTCCCCAGTGGCGATGTTTACACACCGCACCACGGACTCAGTTGATGCCAGGTGTTGTGATGATGCCACGTGTTGTAGTTCTGTGCCACACGGTTGCCGGGAGATGGAGGCACAGCAGTGGATCTCTGAGTGTCCTTGAAGCGTCGCTATCCCCTTGTACGCTTCGTGCCTTTCTCTGGGCAGTTTGTATGTACGTATGTATGTTTGTTTTATGTATGTTGTATGTATGCACTCTGTATGGAACTTCTTTCACACCGTGCGTAGCCAACCGTGGTAATCGGAGGTGTGCGGGTAACTTTGGCTTCCGTGTACGACACCCCAAAAATTCGCAGCACTCATTACCACGCGTGCCAAGCACTCATCGCATGATGCAGCGGCACCATCCTTAAAATGGGCCTTGAGACTCGGTGACGGACACTTCCCTGGGTAACCAAGGGGTATTGTGGGAATGGTTCGGGAGGCCGCAAGCCAAACTGTAATGAATGGGATTGGTCGAGCAGTACCCTCCAGTAAACCATTCTTGAGTGTTTTTTTTCTGGACTTATAAAAAAAATGCATATTAATTTTAAAGAAATGTATAAAATGCATATTTTGGCTCGCTCTTCCCCGATCCTTTTAAATTCCACCGTCACCATGGTTTCCTTACTGGTGCTGTGCCACGTCACGTGGTGCAGTGCCATGTCACGCGGTGCGTTGTGGTTCCACGTGGTGCGGTGCCACGCGGTGCAGCGCGCGGGGCTGTGTGGCATCGTACGCGACGCTCCGGCGTTGGGTTTTCTTCTTTGTTGCCCAAGTGAATGGGACGGTGTGCGGTGTGCGGCGTGAGGACGCCGCGATGTGCGAGACTCTGCGGTTTGCCGCGTGGCTGACACCTCGTGCGGCGTGGCGGTGCAGACGAAGCCTGTGGCGTTCACGGTGCGCACCAACGTGGGCTACAACGGCTTCCACGAGGAGAGCGCCCCCATCCACGGTGCCGCCATCTCGTTCGAGGCCAAGGACTTCCTGCACATCAAGGAGGTGAGCCAACACCCCAAACAACTACATCTGGATTGAGAACACTCGTTTCTTCGGGACTGCTTCTCGTTTGTTTTAGTTTGTTGTTCTTGATTTGATTGCAGGAAGCCATCCTATCTGGTTCTTTCGGTAAAGTCACGTAGATAATAAAAGCTCACGACGTTTCGGTCGCAACACAAGTGTCCGTCATCACCTATCTACTTGACTTTACCGAAAGAACCAGAGAGTATGTTTGTTGTCCTTGCCACGCACCTCCGATTAGCACGGGTGGCTACGTACGGTGGGAAAGAAGTTCGACATACACGCATATAGCCCACACCCCCCTCAAACCCGATTCTCCCCCCATCGTACTCTCACATCCCAAAATTAAATTGGAATAATCCCGTTCCTTTGCCCTTTTGTTTTGCATCTTGTTTGTGTTGTTTTTTTTGTCCCGTTTTTCCAGTTTGGTTCACTATTAGCCCAAATGTAACATTCACGTCACTTGCATATAATTTAAGACCTCGCCGGGGTTGCGAGATGTTAACTACTTCGCCTGGTATACAGGTGGTCGTGGGTTCGATACCACCGTCGCCTCGCAACCGCTCAATGGGCCACCGACTTCCTCTCCTAGTGCGCATGCGGACGTGGGAGTGGTGGTGGTGGTGGATTGTTCCGTCGTTGTTGTGAATACGCTCGATTCTGGTGAGGGGGCCCCCGGCTCTGCCGGATTGGGGAATCTCTCTGAGCGCTCGCTCACTTTGCCGCGCGCGCGTCGTAGAAATACAACAACGACTGGTGGATCGGGCGGCTCGTCAAGGAGGGCTGCGAGATCGGCTTCATCCCGAGCCCCGTGAAGCTGGAGCACATCCGCCAGCTGCTGGAGCAGAAGGCGCGGCAGGGGCGCTTCCATGCAGGGTGGGTGCCGCAACCCACCACCACATCCCACACAACACCCCACCACCGCACCCCACACAACGCCCCACCACCGCACCCCACACAACGCCCCAACTCCACACCCCACCACTGCACCACAACACCCCACACAACACCCCAACTCTACACCCCACCACCGCACCACCACACCCCAGACAATGCCCCACTACCGAACCCCACCACTGCACCCCACCACCGCACCCCACACAACACCCCACCACCGCACCCCACACAACACCGCACCCCATTACACTCCACCACTGCACCCCACACAACACCGCACCCCATTACACTCCACCACTGCACCCCACACAACACCACACCCCACCACACCCACACAACACCGAGGAGGTCAGCAACCTGCGGCTCTGGAGGTGCACGCGGCCGCCCTTTTCAGGACTTCCTCGGTGATGCCACTTGATTATTCACGGACCGCCGTCTCGTATTCACGTCGCGTTGTTGCGGCTCTTGAAATATTGAGTCGGTTTTCTTTTTTTTACTGCGGAATTCGAACAAAGAATGGCTCTTCGTGTTGTTTTGGTTGCCGACCGCTTTGACCACGAAAAACCATGCGGGAGTGGCGGGCCTCCCTGGGCCTCTGCTGGTGTCGCGGTGGCTAGGAGATGTGAACTACCTCGCCTGGTAGGCAGGAGGTCGTGGGTTAGATCCCGAGCCTGGACAGCCTGCTGTGTATTTGAAATTTGAGGTCTCTCTCTCTCTCTCCTTGGGGTCGAGGGGATTTTTCTCCGGGTCCTCCGGTTTTCCCCCTCCACATTTAGAGTGTTTGGCTGCTGTAAATGTCCACGAGCTGTCATTTGTGACCAGGTTGCTTCTATCTCAGTGGGCTTCACCTGGTAAAATAAAAAAAGAATTGTTTACTTTTATAGTTTAGTGGCGCTGGGACTCTGGGTGCCACCTGTCGCCCGATTACACAGGCACCGGTCGCTGCCTCTCCCTCTCTCTTTGTTCTCTGTCGTCCTCTTCGTCGCATTCCCGTGTTTTGAGTTTCTTGTGCATTTGGAAGTCTCTTTGAGATGCCGTGGCATTTAAGTGATGAATAGGTGCAAATCCTTATCCGCTCCTCTTCTCCATCAGTCATCGATCCATCCCGTGTGAGTTTGATGTCATCTTGAGCTCATCTCCACTTTGTATAATCTCCGTGCGTTCCCCAACTCCTCTGCAACTGCTCGTGCCATCCTTTCTCCACCGCATCTACGTACTCCGTCACGCCGTGATCTTGAGCTGACCACCCCCCCCCCCCCCCGGCTGCTCGCCCTGCAGGAGGCAGGGAACGAACTCGTCATCCAGCCTGGGCGACCTCGTGCCGGGGTCACGGCGGTCGACACCCCCTTCATCCGGTACAACGCGGACGCACGCTCGTACATGAACACGCACGCGCAAGCACGCACGCCCTGAACCTAGACGCGCTCCACACGCAGGGGCGTCGATGAGCTACAAGCCACTGCCGTTACCCCACGCTCCTCCCCACCCTCCCCGCACACCTTCCCACCACACCACACTCCCCCCCACCACACCCCACGCTTCTGCCCACCCTCCCCACACACTTCCCCCCACCACACCCACACACTTCCCCCCACCACACCCACACACTTCCCCCCACCACAGCCCACGCTCCTCCCCACCACACCACACACATCTACCCACCACACCCCACACTCCCCCCCACCACACCCCACACTCCTCCCCACCACACCACACGCTCCCACCACACCCCACACTCCCCCCCACCACACCACACACTCCCCCCCACCACAAACATCTACCCACCACATCACACACTCCCACCACACCACACACTTCCTCCCACCACACCACACACTTCCTCCCACCACACCACACACTCCCCCCCACACCACACACTCCTCCCCACCACACCCCACACTCCCCCCCACCACACCACACACTCCTCCCCACCACACCACACACTCCCCCCCACCACACCACACACTCCTCCCCACCACACCACACACTCCCCCCCACCACACCACACCACCACGTTCCTCCGCACTCCACCGCCCGCTGCTCCGGGGACGTTAACGAGACCCGAGCGCACGCTGCAGCGGCTGCAGCAGCGGCAACAATCATCATCATCCATCGCCCGCATCGCACGAACCCACGCCTGGCACGCACAGCCTCTCCCTTCTCTCGCTCTCTCTCTTATCTCTCTCCCTTATCCCTCTCTCCCGCTCTCCCTCTCGCTCGCCCCGACCCTCTCTACCACTCGCTCGCCGCTACTCTCTCTCTCTGTTCTCCTTTGCGCTCTCCCTCTTGGCCGAGTGTGATGTACCGTCATATGCGATTATGTCTGCCTTGGCGATGCCCATTGTCAGTCTGCGCTTGCTGTTCTCTCACCACCCACCAGTCACGCTGACCCTTTTCCTGTATCACTCCCCCCCACTCCTCTCCGCCCCCCCCCACTCCTCTCCGCCCCCCCCCCCACTCCTCTTCCCGTCCCTTGGCACCCAACGCCTCCTCAGCTGCTCGCCGTTTTACTTCGCTAACCTAGATTCGACACGCTCGCTCTCTCGCTCGTGGCCTCATTTCTCTCTCGTTTGCTTTGAATACACGCGCGGTTGTGGACTCGATGTGTGCTCGCGTTTTTTGCTTCTTCGCTGTATTTCCTTTGCTTCATTGGTCGTTTGTTCGTGTTGGTGTTGTTGTCAATATTTTTGTTTCTTTGTTTTGTGTTTCTGTCCCCGTGTGCCGTGCGATCGACTCTGCACATCCCGCACGCACGCGCACGCACGCGCACGCACGCACGCACTTGCACGCATGCACACACTCATATGCACGCGCTCACGTATGCACTCACTCGCACGCATGTGCACGCACTCGCACGCATGCACTCATGTACACGCACACACATACACACGCACTCTCGCACACACGCACTCATACACACGCACTCATACACACGCACTCATGCACACGCACTCACGCGCACGCACTCATACGCATGCACTCACGCATATGCGCGCACTCACGCACACACACGCACGCATGCTTCTTGGTATTCATTCATCTTCGTCCTTTTGATTCAACCTCCTGGAAATGTCACAACTGATTTTTGCTTCTCTCTGCTCGAATCATCCAAACAAACATTTCCTAAAAATGTTTTGTATCAAAACGAACAAACCTTCTACAACCCGGCCTTCAAACCCTCCACCTCACCGCTAATTGCAATCACCCCGTAAAACACCAAACCAAACGTCGTAAAACCCCGTTGCCATCCATCGCCCAATATTTAACTGAACCTCCGACCCACCCATCGACCTAACAATCTAACAACAAAACTCAATAACTTCCAACCCAATCATCGAACTAACAATCTAACAACACATCTCACCAACCCAACCATCGAACTAACAATCTAACAACACAACTCAACAACCGGATTGTGAAACCCATGCCTCAACGAATGCCACCAATGCCCCCCTCCAACACTGTGACCCTTGCACCTCTGACTTCCAAACCCATGAAACCTTTCGACCTATGACCCTCTCCAACTCCCTCCCTGCGATTCGCGACCCTCCAACCCACGACCGTCCGACTTCCAACCCCCGTTTACCCACGACCTCCGACCTCCGACGGACTCGCGTTGCCCCCCCCCCCTCTACTGACCTTTGCGACCTCTTGACCTGACGCCCGACCCCGGCCCATCCGGGCAGCGTATGACTTAGACGCAATGGGTCTGGAAGCGGAAGAGACTGACCTGCAAGGAAACTCTCGCTACCCTAAGGGCAGCGCAGGAAGCGCTGGCTCCGCACAGGCCAATGCCAAGCGCAAGCCCTTCTTTAGGAAGGTACTGTTCCTATACTACTTTTAACTATTCCAACAATTTTGACTGTGAACCAGGTAAGGCCCACTGAGCTACACAGCAGCTATTTTGTCAGAAGCGACCACCTGGCTATCGCGAATGGAAGCTCGACGAAGAGGCTTATCGTCGTGTGCAAATACTCTGAAACGAGTGACGTTCACTTTAAATGTGGAGGGGAAAAAACCAGAGAACCCAGAGAAAAATCCCAGCGACCACAGGGAGAGAGACACGCAAACTCCAAACATCAACCCACGGTCTCCTGTACAACAGGCGAGGTAGTTAACATCTCACCACTGTGGCGCATGTAATGGGGTGAGGGGGGTATGGAGAGGGTGTGGGGTGTGCCAAGTGCGGTGCTGCCACCTCGTGCGTCGCTGTAGTGAGTCACACGCGGTGTAGTGAGCCACTAGTGAGCCACTAGTGAGCCATGCACGGTGTAGTGTAGTGAGCCACGCATGGTGTAGTGTCGTGAGCTACGCGCAGTGCTAGATTTCGCAGTGTCGCGTATGGTGCCACATGCACAGCACCTCCTGTGTCAACATCGAATTCATGCTCGTGCATGTGAACGCGCACACACGTGTGTGCGTGTGGTGTGTGCACGTTCACATTTGTGCATTTTAAATCAGTTGGGCAGGTGGAGTGAAAGGACCGTTCATGTCACGAACGGGCCTTTAATCAATCTTTTAAGTGCTGCCGAAGAGAGAGAGAAGCACGTCATGTAAAGTTGATTTTGTTCAACCAGCTGGGAACTCAAAAAGGCAGGATGAGTCTCGTCGCAAGGGAGTCTTCCAGTCGAGGAAACAATGATTACTGCCGTGTTGAAAATCTCAAGTTTTGTACGTTTTCGAATTTGGCAAATGTTTGACTCCTACGCCAACAACGCAGTGGCCTGCTCTTGTGAAGTACGTCACGGGATCTTTAACGTCCGCTGTGGAATCGGCACGGTCGCTCCACCCGCAGTGAACACACTGCTCGTGCCCGGGTGGACTGTGGGGGAGGCAGCAGAGGAGAGGGAGGGAAGGACGTCCAGTCCAGCGGGGATTTATGAATGGAGCATTGGGCGATGAAGGTGCAGAGAGAGGAGAAGAGAGGGAGAGAGAGGGGGAGAGAGAGGTGAGGAGAAGGGGGAGGCAGTTGCTTTCTCGAGCAGAGGGAGTAGGAGAGCGAATATGTAAGCCCATAGAGCCGGAGTGAGGTCACAAAGAGATTTGTCGTGTGTGTAGATGATTCACTCTGTTGTTGGTGTGAGGCAGTTATATATAGTTATATATAGCAATATTTGTGAATAACAGTTGAATATAAATTGAGAATCCAGGTATCCGCTACCCTATTCATCACCCATAATCCGTGGCCATGATATACGATCAACAGAAACGTTGTCTGTTATCCACGTGGTGTGGGAAAGCCATCCTAATCTCTGCTTTTTATCTGAAGCTAATTTTTCACGGATAAGAGGATTTAATATATCTTTTTTACACGTTTTGGGAAACAACTGAGATTTCTTCACGTACGCAAATGTACTGATCGACCAACATCGCTCCCATTCCCCGCTAACATCGGTGCGGATAAAGAGGCATCACATTAAATTTCGAAAGGCCCCGTATGTCGACTTTTGATCACGCCGATCTCGTAAGTTACAAGATAACCAATCAGATAATGCGTCTCAATCTGTCCCCTCCACACGTAAAAAGAACTCAATGCAAGTTGCACTCCTCCCGTCAACCACGTGGCCTTAACGAGAGTGCTGATTGTTGGGGAGAAGAGCAGCATCATGAGCAGCAAGTCATGAGTTGAGGCTTGCGTCAGCCTGAAACCCCAGCAGCGTTCGGTTCCAACACAAGCAAACTCTGGACCGGCTTTGACATGCAGCGTCTCGTCAGCAGAGTCGGTCTCGTTCGAACCGATGGTGGTGGTGGTGTCTGTTAATGGGGGTAGCCCCCCCCGTAGCCCCCCCCAACACCCCCCCCCCACCATGAGTCTTGACTGCCTGACTCAGCGCTCGGGGGGGGGGCGGGGGGAGGTCCAGGTTCATTCCGTAACCATTAACAATGTCAGCAGCAGCAGCAGCGAGCATTGGGATCCTGGCGTGACTGCTGCCTCCTTTCGGCTGACGCAAGCCTAAACACGGGACTTGCTGCTGATGCTGCTCTTCCCCAACAATCGGCACTCGCGGTCGACAAAAGTTGTTCACCCCCACCCACCCTGATTTTGTGCTGCTGGAATTGCTGGAAGTGCTGGCCTTAATCGGTGCTCGTTGACAGCGCCTCGAAGGGGCTACACGGGGTGGGTGGTGTTTGCGCGCACACACGTGTGCGTGTGCTCTTGCGCGCACACACGTGTGCGTGTGTGTGTGCTCATGCGCGCACACACGTCTGCGTGTCTGTGTGCTCATGCTCGCGTGAACACAGTTCACGTGACACGCCCCACGCATGTGCTGATGTCATCAAAACTACTCCCCGGTCTAAATAACCCCACGGGACGTGCGTGCTTGCGTGCGCGTGTGCGTGCACCTTAAGGCCTTAAGATGCACTTAGCCTGGCACAAGCGCCCTGGTGATGTCAATGCCACCTTAGTAGCGAATGGCAGTCGTTGTTGTTGTATGCGTGCGTGTGTATGCCTGCTTGTGCGTGTGTGCTTGTGTGTGTGTGTGCTTCACGCTCTCCGTCTTGAGCCACGCAGGATCACTCGCTAAGAGAGCAACGTGCCGTGCCGCGTCTGTGTGCCTACTAACGCTCCTCCCTGCCCCACCTCCACCACTTGCCTTGTCCCCTCTCCCACCCCTGGCCCGAACCCGACCCCCCCCCCTTCCCAACATCGTCCCCTTCTATTATCACCTCCCTTACCCCCCCCCCCTCCCTCAACCGCCCCCTCTTCTATCACCCATTGCTAACACGCCTGGCAGCAGCCAAGCAGAAGCAGAAGTCGGTAAGAGAATCATCTCATAACCGTCCGCACCCCCTCCCCCCCGCGAGAACGTACGCCCCAAGCTGCTGGGGCCGTGACCTTGAGTGACCCCGGGTCCATCGCTTGAAATTACCTTGGTTTGTGATTTTTAAATGACCCGGATTCTTGGCCTGAAGTTTCACGGCCCTTGCTGGCACGAGCTTCTTCTTTCTCTAGGCCCAGGTGATATTGGGGCGGTTGGGTGGGTTTTATTTATCCATAACCGGGCGAGAACCCCCGTCTCTCTTCTAAGGGAGATCACGGGATACAAATTCGGGAACAGAACATATATTAACGCCGTGTAAATATGTGCAGAAGTAAGGTCGAGGGAATTTAAAATTGGCATAATTATAAATATATTTATATATATATATATAAATAATATTTTTTGTGTTGATGGCGTCCCGTAGCAGAAACAAATCAATCCGCTGCGTAACAGAGTTGGTTGACAAAGCCTCGACTCTGCCGATGAGACCCGGTGAACGGTTTGCCTGCGTAAAAACTAAAATCGTTTTGGAACATTGGTCCAGAAGAAGGGCAACAGGAGAGGACTTGACATTCACGAGCCACTGCTTCGCCGTGAGCAGGAACTCAACCTGGTCACCGGCTTCAACAGCACAGAGTGGTGTAACCACTGCACTGCTACTCTCCCAGAAAACGTTGCTAACGTCCACTGATTGTAAGATATCTATGCACATGAAGTCCTCACATGGCAGTGGTAATCTGCAGTCGGTGTCTGCTATTCAAAGCATTTCAATCATTTACATTCACGAATGCGAAATACATTGCAAAAAATATATATTGCAAAAAATTCAGGCGAAAATCACGTGACCCTCTTCAACCTCATTCCGCTCGCTCGGAATCACCGCACCGCAAGGCTATAAGTCACAACCAATGTGGAGATGGAGTTGGTACGACAGAATTGGATTGCATCGCTCGCCACCAGTGCCAGCAGGGAGACGCTTTCATCGGGCGGAGGGTCGATTAGTCTCTCTACTGCTGCCAATGTTGCCATCGTAGAGCAAACAGCTACGATTTAAAGTTGAGGTGGCCGAGCTGGATCATTGTGTCAGCAGCAGCGGAGCGGTGTGCATCATCGCTGCGAATGCGACGCTCCCTCCGTGTTTGTCAATCGGGCGCCGAGTCGTCGTACGCTCCGCGGTTCCGTTCCGGGTGGTGATCACAGTCGTCGCACTCTGCCGACGACTTGTTAGTTTTCCATTTGTGCGTCATCATCATTATCATCGTCATCGTCATCGCCGTCATCGTCGTCTTCATCATCGTTGTCGTCTTCATCATCGTTGTCGTCTTCATCATCGTCGTCGTCATCACTGTCGTTGTCACCATCATCATCGAGTATCCGCAGCTGATAGGGCTGATGATGGCTTTGTACGATGACTTTGATGATGATGACAGCGTCTGTCCGTGATGTACGACGAGGCTGTAATGCGCCGCTGTAATTTAAGCCCTCTCAGTCGACCGACCTTGGTGATCGATATTTTCCCCTGGCGGTGTTCGGCGTGAGACGGCCGCGGTCCGGTCTCGTGCTCTAAGTGCTCGTCAGCGATTAGAAATATGTAACAGAAACGTCGCGTGCCGGTAAACCCATGGCTCGCACGACACTCCTCCTCCTCCCTCCTCCTCCCTCGTCCGCTTCTCTCGGAGAGCCTCAGTTTCGGCGTTCACCTGCCGGACTTCACGACGTATGGCAAACACCTGTCAGGGAATAATTTCGGTCGTCCGTGTCATAAATGTTTCTGTGCCCAGCGCGCACCGCGGGACCTTGACCCTTGCCCTCCCTCTCCGGCCCTTTCTCTCGGCGAGAGTTGTCACTTGTCCTGGATTTGTGCATCGTCGTCCTCTTTTTAAGGTAGCCTTGATAATAATAATAATATAAAAATTTACATTTGCAAGGTGCGTGTCATCCAAGGGTCTCGACGCACCGATCTCTCGCGATGGGAAATCTGCGTAGTGTTTCCCGAAATATTGAAAGTCCCAGTTTTTGTCAGCAGTACGCGTTTCTCCTCCCCTCTCGCTCTTTGTGAGACAATCTTACTCCCTTGATCTGTCCCGGTTTTTATTTATTTATTTTACACCTCAGAGGTGGTGGGTTTACTTTGTTTAACCAGGTGAGAAGTCGAGAGGCAAGGACAAGTCTCATTTGCAAGACTGACACGACTAGGCCCACTCCAATTAACAACTGAAATGGAAAATATTCGGTGAGCAATGAAGAGCAGTGATTCCTCACCGAATTAACAACGAATCGGGAGGTGCGGGGGAAGGACAACAAGCAAATGAGCAGTGGAAGCAACGTGAAATTTGACAGAGAGAAACACCGGTATGACGTTGTTTAACGTCGCAGAAAAGTAAAAAGACAAAACACTGAAAGGCCCCGATTCACGTGGTGCTATGCAATGACGTCCCTTGCCGTTCCGAGTTTCGCAAACAAACGCCGCATCGCCGATGTCTCCGGCGGGATCACGGCAGCGTTTGGGCCGCGTCGTCAAAATTACTGAACCTGGCCACAGATGCTACTCTGAGAGCGATCACCATGTAAACTAAAACTATGTTTTGTTTTATTTGACCAGGTAAGGCCCACTGAGCTATACAATTATTTTTCAGAATCGACCTGGCTATCACAAATGTTAGGCCAACGATGTGGCTTATCATCGTGTAGAAATGTATAGCAGGCAAATACTCTAAACGCGTGATGTTGATTCTAAATGTGGAGGGAAAACCGGAGGACCTGGAGAAAAATCCACGCGACCACGGGGTGAGAGACACCGCAAACTCCAAATATACAGCAGGTATCAGGGTGAGGATGAAACCCACGACCTCCTGTATACCAGGCGAGGTAGTTAACATCTCGCCTCCGTGTACCCTCTCCACACCTCCCCTCCATCCTCGCCCTCCCCGTCTCCTTCCGTCACCGCCAGACGGAGAATGTTCCTCCGTACGACGTGGTGCCGTCCATGAGGCCCGTGGTGCTGGTGGGACCTTCGCTCAAGGGATACGAGGTGCGGCACAACAACAACACCACCAACTACAACAACAACTACACCAACAACACCACCAACTACAACAACAACTACACCAACAACAACAACACCACCAACTACAACAACAATTACACCAACAACTACACCAACACCAACTACACCAACACCAACTAAACCAACAACACCACCAACTACACCAACAACTACACCACCAACTACACCAACAACAACACCACCAACTACACCAACAACTACACCACCAACTACAACAACAACTACACCAAAACAACACCAACTAAACCAACAACACCACCAACTACACCAACACCAACTACACCAACAACAGCACCACCAACTACAACAACAACTACACCAACAACTACACCAACACCAACTACACCAACAACAACAACAACTACACCAACACCAACTACACCAACAACACCAACAACAACAACACCACCAACTACACTATCAACTACACCAACAAATACAACTATACAAACTACACCAATTACACCAACAACTACAACAACTATACCAACTACACCAACAACAACAATTAACGCCACTAACTACACAAACAACTACACCAACAACAACACCACCAACAACACCAACACCAACTACACCAACACCAACTACACCAACACCACCAACACAACCAACAGCAGCATCAGCGGAATATGGCACGAGGAAAGAAGAGATGGCAAGGTTGTGGTGGCATCAGCAGCGCCAGACGTCATGACCTCTGACTTTTAACCATCGCCTGTCTTTAACAAAGCCACAGCTATGAGTATATTTACAAAGTGTACCCAGAAACATTATTTCAGCCATACCCACTAAACAAACCCGTACAAAATGTACAAGGTGTACACGGACATACCGCTAAGGGGCTGTAACAATTATGAAGATGCGTGCGTGCGCATGTGAATCTCGCCCCCCCCCCCCCAGGTCACTGACATGATGCAGAAGGCCCTCTTTGACTTCCTGAAGCACAGATTCGAGGGGCGGTAAGCAAAGGGCCTTCATTGTTTGAAAAAATAATAATAGGGTGTTAACCCTTTCTGGCAATAAACCAGGAGGTGTTAAGATGTTCCAACACCAAAGATAAACTTTTTCCCAGGAATCAAAGTCTGCATTAACCACACGTACTTGTGGTGAACATGCAAACAAACGTGCCCTGATAATTAATGTTTGAGGCATTGTCTTTGAAACTGATTGGCCTACACCAGAGGCGGCCATCTTTAGGGCCTCGTCTCACCAGTGTCAGACCAGAGAACAATGGAAGAAGGTGAACAGCACAAAGACAATGCCACTGTCAGGGCATTTATAGCTCGAGGTGAGCAGCTACAAAATGGGGCCTTTCTGGGGGCTTCATTTCTCACTCACTAATCCACATCACTGGTGGACCTGGAGCAGGCACGCGGCGAGCAATGGTAACGTCACCGTGCCAATATCAGGACGATGACTTTAACCTGCATCCCAACAGCGTCGAGTCGGCCGCTGTATCCCGTGCAAATGTGTGGGCAGTGCTCATTGTATAAACATTCTTTAAACCGCCGAATCGCATGCACCACCACCACCACGTGATCCAGGGTCTCTTTAGAAGGTGTGTGTGTGTGTGAGAGGGGTGACCGGCTGCATGAGGGATTAGGAGACACTGAGGATGCAGTGCTTAGATTCTGGATTCCAGCTGCCCCTGGTGTCACTATTAACTCGTTAATTATTTATGTTACCAGTGAAGGCCCACTGATCTATATAGCTCCTTTTGAGAAGCAGGCCTGGCGATCACAAATGGTCGCTTAAACATCTCGCCACCGTGGCGAGATGTTTAACCGCCTTCTCAAGTGTAGCGAGTTGATGGGTCTTGGTCACCAAAGACTGCACCCCAAAAACTCCGTGATATTGTTTGCCACTGAATTGGCTAAACTACAACTCTGATCATTAAAAACATTTATATTGTATTGACGGTCATGAACATTTCTGTCTGGAGCTAGGCCGCGAGTGAAAGTGGATTAAAAAAAAAAACGTCGCTCCAACGGATCTCAGAGGTAGTTCTGTGGTATCTGGCTCAGCGGACCATTCTCCACACGCACACGGTGGGGAATTTGCACCGCATGTGCGAGACTCCCCAATGGATGCTTCGTCTCTTGCAACGACGCTGATCGCGTGAATCACCAAATTAGTTTGAGCTACCGAACCAACGATATTTCGTTTGCGGAACAGCATTGTAAGTAAGTAATGTTGAAACGGGCGTGCGTGCGCGTTTGCAGCATCTCCATCACAGCGCGTGACGGCCGACATCTCCTTGGCCAAGCGCTCCGTCCTCAACAACCCCAACCGGAGACCGATCATCGAGCGCTCCAACACTCGCTCCAGCATCGGTGGGTCCCCTGGAGACCCCCTCACCCCTCACCATTCCTTTCTCCTCCCCATACTCGTCTCCCTGTCACCCCTTCTTTCTCTCCCCCCGCCCACCCCGACGTCTTTACTTTCCCCTGACCCCTTCCCCCGACACCCCTTCCCCTCCCCATCCCTCCCCACCCCCTCCCACCCCCCTGCTAAAAGAGCGACTTGTGTTTTCATCCCTGAAATGAGCAGCTGTTGTCCGAACGGCCAGATAAAGTCGTTGCCTGCTATAGGAATGTGGGACTTGGATCGTCCATAAACCACTTCAACTTTGGCTTCAACTTGCCCGGCACCGTGATGATGATGATGGTGATGACGACAATCCGTTCCTGTAATCCAGCGACGTGGAGGCAGCGTTGATGGAACCGCGCCGGTGATAATAATGCGCGTTAACCGCGACGCTCGCTCGCCTTCACCAGCCCGCGCTGACCCGCATGGTTCAAGTATGGGGGTAAACAACCCTCGCAGCTCCCACGGCATTGGGCGACCACCATCCAGCAGTGGATACATGACGGTATACTTGACCGCACTGCGCGCGTGCGCGTGCACGACCATGGACACGCGCGCGTGCGCGCACAGCGGCGGTGCGGTCCGACGCGATGGTGCGCGTTGCATAATTGACGAGGGAGTAATCGGGCCCGGCTCGTTTGTCATGTTTACACCGTGCACTGGAGTGGGGGGCTACGGCCGGCGCGATGTAAACACGCCGCTCCTTCAGGCACGACGACCCAGCTTGCAGGTGTCGCTTACTTCTTCACCCCTTCTCCCTCCCTGTAACATCTCCCGTGCCCTCGACCTTCTGTGTCCAGTTAAGAATCGGAATGTTTATTTAGACCGGAGGAATCCACAGAGCTACAGAGCTCTTTTTCACAGATGTCCAGTCGGGGTACAGGGTCAGAACGTCGGCCACAGCGAGGGAGCAGCCGCCCACTGCCCGCGGCGATGATCTCCGTCCTGTCCCGCACCCCCGCCAAACCCCCTGATGAGATCCGCGAGAGGGGTAGGGGATGCTGCCTTGGTGTAAAGGGTGAGAGTGCACGGCGCTTGCGATCCACGGGTCGCCGTTTGCTTCGGTCTCCCAGCGCAGCCGAAACGATCGGGCGAGGTTCTTGAATCCACCCCTGCCTCCGTCGCTCCTCCTCGTTCTCCGTCGTCCACCCGGCAGAGTAAACGGCCGAACCGCCGCAAGTTGACCGGCACGTCGCGCGCCTGGGTGGGCTAAAAGTGTGGCTCCTCCAGGACGTCTGGCCAGCGTGAAAGAGGAGGGCAAAAACCGATGCGTGAAACATTGTGCACGCGCTCGCGATTACCCCGAGGTTAGAAGAGTTGAGCGTTTGTTAATGTGCTGACTTGGAGTGATTCGCACGGTTGGCTACGTACGGTGCGAAAGAGGTTCAACATGCGTACAATCTAGCGGGGCCCTCTGGAGCTCGCGCTAGCAGAGGCCCTTCTGCCAGTAGTGGCGTCAGCACAGCAATGGCAACGCCGCGCCTTCGCCGCTTTCTACAACTTGAAATGTGTCATCTCGCTCGCACGAGTGGGATCAGTCGCGCGCACGAGCCGATTTCATCGCTCCATCATCCGTGGTGGGAGCGTTCACCTCGGGACACTCTCCATTCCTTTGAGACCGATCGCAAACAACTGATTCTCACGTGCACGGTTCGATGCATGTGTCGTCAGCGTGAGGATCGATCATATCGGACGACCGCCGTACGCTACCGTCCGTGTCACCACATCGGATTAAACTGTTTTTTGTTTTACCAGGTAAGGCCCACTGAGCTATTATAGAGCTCTTTTTCAGAAGAGATCTGGCTATCGAAAATGATAGCTCAACGACGTGGCTTGTCACGTGGAAATGTATAGCAGCCAAATACTATAAACGCACATTTCTAAATGTGGAGGGAAAAACCGGAGGACCCGGAGAAATATCCACGCGACCATGGGTAGAACACGCAGACTCAGCGACCGGTGTCTGTGTAATCGGGCGACAGACGGCACCCAGAGTCCCAGCGGCACTCAACTATAAAACTAAACAATTATTTTTTATTTTACCAGGTGAGGCCCACTGAGATAGAAGTAACCTGGCCACAAATGACAGCTCGTGGACATTTACAGCAGCCAAACACTCTAAATGTGGAGGGGGAAACCGGAGGACCCGGAGAAAAATCCACTCGACCACAAGGAGAGAGAGAGAGAGACCTCAAACTCCAAACACACAGCAGGCGTCCAGGCTCGGGATCTAACCCACGACCTCCTGCCTACCAGGCGAGGTAGTTCACATCTCCTAGCCACCGTGGCTCCCCTCAACGTGGCACAGCCACGCCCCATGGACTCGCTCGAGTGGAGTGTGACCGCACTCCAAAAACTCACTAAGTCTTTTTATTGCATACATATAAATCAACTCCGCTTAGGGTCGCGGGACACACAGCCGATGGACGCATCCGCTAGGCAAGAGCCTCCTCCTGACTCACGGTGCAACCAGCGGCCGACTGTCCAGCGGGCGGCAACGATTCTTCGTGTCGTTCGAAAATGCCTCTTGCACATTTGGAATGTTTGAGATGTCTGCCTTTGTTCGTCGCGGTGATGTTTAGCAGTGCTTGGGGGGGAAAGGGAAAACTAAAAATGTGGGATGACATCCGCCCCCACCGACGCGTTTGGACGTTGCAGAGTGGCGGCAGGGTGGTTGTTTATTTATTTATTTTCATCTGCTCCGCCGTTTTTTTTTTGATCGGAGGAATTTGCAGGGATTCGTGGAAAATTCGGCGAGCGAAAAGGTGCGGTGCATCGCAGAACTTGCGTGGAAAAATAACAGCAACGTCTGCAGCTACTGTGCTCATTCGTGGTTTGAAACAAATGAAAATACAGGCGACATGATGATGATGTTGATGATAATAATAGCTAAAATCATTTTCCGAAGTAAGAAATAAAAAGTTCACAGTTCTCTACGGACGGGCCTTTCTAAAGCCAAGTCACCCACAAAGTGAATTGGATACACATGTATTGGGCACCTTTACATTCACCGTAGCTGCATATGGATCATTATTATGACAGCATTGTTATTATTACATCAACAACTTTCCTATGGAGACACTGGCTCCTGCCATAGGAATCTGGAATTCAACCATTGGCTTAGGGCCGCTAACAGAAGATGAGCTTCGTCCAATGCTCGTCTGAATGCAGGGTCACTCATGCGATCGCCTATTTTCGACGAGCGGGACAATTTTAAACGAACACGAAGCGTTTACCCAACTGTAATCAGTTGAACGATTCTAATTATTCTTGTCGTTTATAGAGTTTACCAATCGCCCCGCTGAGCTTTGCGATAACGCCCGCGGCGGTCGGCATGGACGCGGGGCTCCGCCAAGCCGTGAGCCACCGCCGCTACCGCCGCTGCTCTCCGCCAGGTTCCCCGCAGTGTCTTGCGCCGTGCCTCCCCCCACCCCTGGCGTTTGGTTTCGACGATTGACTTTTGGTCAAACGGCGAGGTGGACGAGAATCGTAAAACATGGCGACAATGACCGTGGCTGCTTGCCCACCCAAGGAGCGAACGCTGAGCCCGGGTGAAGACGCAGAACCGCGACGGTTTAGTGACGTAACGGGATGCGGCAGTGCGCCAAGGAAGAACAAACACGGTAGTTGATTACGTGTGTGTGTGTGTACAGGGTCCGTTTTACTCGGTTTACTAATTGTCTGAGTTTATTGGGTGGGGGAGAGGTGTGATGGGGAGTGGATTCGATGTGCGACTCAGTTCAGTTGACGAGACTTGGAGAACGACAGAGCCTAAGCCTCGATCGACGCTCGACGGGTAATCGCCGACAAGGCCCAAGACCAAAACTCATGAATTCTGACTGCATTAACACCAACGCCCACTCCCGGCACTCACAGAAATGGACAGATCTACAAAGCGTTTGTTTATTTTCCACTGATTTGCAGATCTTGCGGAGAAAGCCACGGGGAAAACGTAGGAATGAGTGGCCAGTTATGGTGATGGATCGTGGCTCCAGGTTCAGGAGGATACAAAGTCTCATTCCTTGGGTTTTCCGTGGTCGGGTAAAGTACACGGGTGAATGGTTGGACGATCAGAGTAAAAATAAAAATTGTTATTCCGATTTGTGATATTATCGGCGTCGTGTGGTGAGATAAAGAATCCATTCGGAATGCTCTCCGAGCAGTGCCCCGTGCTAGAGAACAGCCCACGAAGGGTGACATCACTCTCCTCTTATCCACAACACTTAGGAGGCACCACATTTGCGCATGTCCTGCTGTGAGAAATATCTGGTATTTCTCATTCTCGTGATTTGGCCAAATGACATGACAAACAGGAACCCATTGCTACCCAGGAGGTTCACCGCACTTGATAACTCAATTTAATTACGGGCGGTGGAAAACTTGGATTTGAACCCAAGATCTCAGTTTTGTCGGCTCAGTCCTCCGGCCCATGAACCACCCGGCAACCTCATATGAAAAGCCATCGATAATTTATGAACACGGCATTAGCAGTTTACTGCTGTCACCAGACCAGTTCTCCTCGGAAGTTGCATGGGCTGTATGCGTCCCCTCTGGTGGAGATTGCATTGATGACGAAGCCACTGTCAGTGCGTTCCAGTTCATGGTTCTCCACGTGAGGTCTCTGTGCGAGTCTATGGTTCTCTCTGCAAATCTATGGGTCTCCAGTGCAAGGCCACGGGTCTCTTGCGCTCATGAAGAAATCGGTGCCATCGCGTTCCACTTAATGAATGCGCCCGCACACGTGATCGGCTGACAACTGGAAACCCCGGGGAGGACTTTGGTATAATCCTCAAGCTGGAGTCGCGAACCATCACTGGTTGCAACGCATTTGTACTTACAGTGGCGAATTGCTCGCATGTTCAGGTTATTATTTTTCTTTGTTAAAGTTTAAGCAAAAATAGCTTCTCGAGTGTATATGAATAGTGTAGAGCGATGAGATTAAATTAAGCACTCAATTATGGTATTG